TTAATTTATAAAATATTTTATTTTTTTAATAATAATACATTTTTTTATTTTTAATTATAATCGTAAAATTTCCAATTTATTTTAATTAATTAATTGATATTAATATTATTTATAAAACTTAATTATACTATTTAATGTATAATTTATGCAAATGTTATATTTGTCTTTACTAGTTTTTTACTAAAACTAATATGATTTTAATTCTATTAATTCAAGTAAAAAATTTATTAAATTTATTCATTAAATAATACATAATAGAATAATTGTTTACACAGATTTTATATGTTTTAATTTTTATTTTATTGTTTGTATGCTATATTTTTCTTTATATTATAATATTAACAAAATCAAAAAATAAAATAAATCAATAAATAAATAATATTTGTTAAGTATTATAAATTTTAAATTTTAGCTGTGTAATGTATAAATTTTTATCATTTCATAGAATCAATGGTATCAGCAGTATCTGAAATACTATATAAAGTGACAAAACTAATACTATTCGTATAAAGTCAAGAGGCATGGTTCTTTCGTTATTTAATATTCTTTTCCACATGAACTTTTCCTGGCTGTCGGAGACTCTCGCCCTACTGAGCAGTTGGGGAAGTTTCTCTGGGATTATTTGTTGTTTTCGGCCACCTACAGCACAGCTTATTGTCCGGCAGAGGGGAGTAGCAACTGAGCTGACCAATGCCATCCCTGCGGCGATTTCTGCAACGGAAAACTTGGAGCGTGCAATGAGCCCGCACTTACCACCAGGAGATCACCTGTGTACCACGCTAGTGTCTCCCCAGTTCTCCCAGGCGCTATCAATGTTCTGGTCTGCTTTGCAGTCAGGCCAGGCGGGACCTGTCATCCGTCAATTTGGCTTGGGTCCAGATGCTGTCAATGCTGCAGCCAGTGGAAACATTGAAGAATTCGTCACTGCCCTCGAGTCAGAAGCTAAAAGTGGCCAAGAACAAACACAACAAGGACAGGAGGACAAAAATACTAAACAAGTTCCACCAACATCTAGTCCTGATAAGAAAGGTGATGATGATGAAGGATTAGATTTAGATTAAAAACAGAACTTAACAAGTCTGATTTTCACTTATATTTTCATTTAGAAGATATACAATATGTATCACATTATAATTGTTTATGTGTAATAAATAATTCCTGAGAGAATGATGTACTTTGTTATAATATAATAACATTTTCATATCCTTGTAATTGTAAATATTAAATATATAAAAATTAAATACTAAGTTCAATAAAATTTGTATAATAATAAAATGTTAATAAATAAGTAAAAATAAAGAAAAAATTACTCAAAAATTATCTTAAAATTAATGAGTTTTTTATTTTAATATCAATATATTTAGCTACATATTATTAATAATGTAACGAATATATTAATATTTGTAATATTAATCTATTTATATATAATATATAATATTTATATAAATATATTTATAATGTATATTATACAAATTTAAAATTTTAGTATAATTGTTGTTTTATCAAATTTTTAAAACTTATATTTTAAATCTTTAATTAAATATATATGATATATTATTATATTATTTAATATATTATTTCTCAATTAAATATTTTTAAATAAAGCATAATTATATTTTAACAATAAAAAAATACATAAATAAAAGAAATAAAATTGTTCAAGCTTATATGTTTACATACAATTTTCATTTTTTACAATATTTAATCGCGGGAATATAATTAACCAATAGAGACACATTATTTACGACGCATAAACATGTTATTGGCTGACATCGATAATCGATATAGAAAATTAAACATAGTTACTAGTATCATATCTACACAAAATTTCGCAATTTATACAGAAAAATGATTTTTTTATGAATTCAGTATTTATTCAATATTATTCTTCAAATATATAATATAATTATATTAATATTTTATATTAACAAGTTTATTTTTTATATCATAAAGATTGATACAATGTATATAATAATCTATGTTGTCAGACATTTGTGTGGTTAATTTACAGAGTTTCTCATTGGTCTGTCGATTATGACATCATCCAGGATCGGCTCAAAATAAGAAATTATACATTTTAGATGTAAAATTTATATTTTATTTATAAATAATAGTTATTTAATAAATAATAAAGTATAAATATTTTTAGTTACACAAAAATTGCAATAAATTAAATTATATCGATTTTAATGCATATTTTTGTAATAAAATAATATTAAAATAAAATATACTTTAATGATAAATTAATAAACATTTCAATTATAATTTTTTAAATATTTCGATTATATAAAAATTATAATTTTTTTCATTATAGATATAAAAAATTATATATTGTTTAAGAATAACTGATTATTAGTTAAAAAATATTTATGATATATTAAAATAAAAATAAAAAAGCTTCAATATTTAATTCATATTATATATATTATTAATATAGATATATTATATACAATTTAATTATATATAACAAGTAAATAAATTTGAATGCTATCATATATGCATCATTGTTTGTAAACAAATTTATGAGACAATGATACCTCATTCTATTTACTTGTTACAATCCTGACCACATGAGCATTCGCAATAACTGATGAATCGAACAAGTAGTGGGGTCTTTCTCGCGGATGTTGATTACTGTTTTGGTGAATGTCGCTAAAACTTACCCGGTAAACTTATAAAAAACATATTGCGTTTATGAAGCATAAAATATAAAAGTGCATTACAATTATTTATAATAAAAGTTAGGGTATTTCGATATTAGTGTCATTATAAAATAAGTGCGAGTATCGCGATAAAATATTATTGTTTTGTGAATCTACTAATATAAGAGAGATAAGGAGAGTGTAGAGTGTATGCGAGTGCATTTAACATACTCACACAATTGGTATATTCGGCATGTTCGTGTACAATGGCAACCTTGACACTTGGTGATCGTTTTTGGCGGCTTCGTCCCGCTTCTACTGAAATCGTGTAGGATCGCGTCGCGAGTGAAAGCAGCAGTGGCCATTCTGTAAAATCTTTAAGAGTTTGGCAGTAAAGAATCATTAAAACATTTCGCGCTTCAGATTATAATATCTCACTATTCTGTTTGTTTTCGTGATTGTAGTTTCGTTCGTGAAAATGTTCGTATAAACTATTGTTCTTAAAGGAAACATATCACACAACAAAATCACATCAAATATTTTGCGCATATACTGGAAATTAAGAAAAATAAACAGTTAAGGTTAGAAAATAATAAAAATAAATAAATAGATCATATTATATTTAATAAATTATATTATATTTAATATTTAAAATATATATTTCAAGGAAATTTTATTTGTACAAAATTTATGTTTATTAATTCCTTCTTATAACGTTTTGTACAATTGGTTCGACGATCTAATTTTTTTATTTGTTGCTAGCAATGAAAATAAAATATACTATATAATTGTATCAATATATTGTATATATATGATCCTGAATTGTATGTACATGTAAACATATGTGAAAGTAAAATAATTCTTATTTTCAAGTAAATTTAAAAAAATTTGTGAATTTATCTCACGGAAAAACCAATTTGCTTCATTAAATTATAAAAAAAATTATTTAAAAAAAACAATATTTTTTCTTTATCATATATTTTCTTTTTAAACAAGAATAAGAAAATAACACCAACTAAAGTTTCGAACTGTTGCACGTATGGAAACATTCTTATGAAATAATTCTTTTTTTTTTATTTTTTATTAATTCAAAATTTGTATATATTTTTTATATAAAATACACGTATATTCTGAGAAATAAATAATGAATTATTGTATAGATCAAAGAAATATTTTTGCTTTTATATTTGCGATTTAGCATAAATCTATTATCTTTTCTGAGTTTTTAATTTTTGGTAAATTAAATGCGCAGAAATTAAAAAAAATTTCATATTAACTTATAAAATTTTTAATCAATAAAAATAAAAATTATCGTTGTTTATATCGTTGTTAATATGTTTCATCAAATTTGATGATTTGTTTTATATTTTAGCTGTATATACATAAACATTAATGTTTAAAAAATTTATGTATTTTAAATTAATATAATTCATTGTTATTGATATCTATTGTGAATATAAATCAAATATAATATAATTTTCTTACACAACTTTTGAATATACATAATACTTGATTTTTTTCATTATTCTGAAAATACATGTTTGTTAAACAACATGAAAAATAAATTTTACGTGATATGTATATTTTTATATAGGTAATTAATTATTATTATGTATAATAAATTATTATTATATATTTCATCACGGAAGATGTATCTTTTTACAGTGCTATATATAAAATAACTATTACGTAGTTCATATATAAACAGCATCACGTGAAGTTAATAAAAAAAATAAAAAGAGACAATGTTTATGTGAATATTAAAAGTGCTTGACTATTTTACATATTATAAATCGAATACTACTTCTATAAAATAGGTGAGTTTTTAAATTGTATTGATATATTTAATTGTACTTATATTTCATATTAGCAATTTAATCAGTATTATAGTAGTTTAATTTATTTAAAAATAATTAAGCCATAAGAAAAATAAAAATAATAATAATAAAATCGTTAAAAATAGAAAAATTAAAGAATATAGGGTTTATATAGGATAAGTATGTCTACATAAAAGATAGATTATATATTTTATATAAAGGGGAATGAGAATAAGAATAAAGAGGTAAGAAATAACTTGTATGCATATGCATCACAATATATTTATATTTAATTTTAATTTAAATTTAAAATATTTATAATATTTTCAATTTATACTATTATATAAAAAAATTGTAATATTAACATATACATAATAAATATATA